TTCTCTGCTTTCTTTTTTGGTTTCTTGTCGAGCATGTTTATATTTTTGCATCTTCAGCAAAGGGACTTGGTCTCTTCCATATCTACTTAGTTGAAGTGAGAATTTTATCTTTTGATTGGTCCATGTGAGAAACGAAAAATCACCCAACAAAAGTGCAAACTCTATATAGAGACTCACTGGTTAAAGGTGGTCGTTAACACTTCAAGAAGATAAGTGCTACAACAACAACCACCCGGTGGAATCCCACAAGTGGGGTCTGGGGAGGGTAGTGTGTACACAGACCTTACCCCTACCTATGAAGGTAGAGAGAGTGTTTCCAAACGACTCGGCTTAAGAACGTTAAAATGGAGCAATAGAGAAACAATAGCAACAACAATATAATAAAACAGTGCAAGCAAATAGTACAACGAATAATGACAGAGATCCAGGGATATTAAACTACAAGAATAGTGCCAATACTACTGCTAATACTGACATACCGTATAGAAACAATGGGCTCGGAATAGGAAGGTACCCCACTAGTACTACTACTATTGGTAAGACAAGGCAAAACTCTAGATTGTATATCAACTCACCACTCTAATTTTCAACCTCCACACCTTTCTATCGAGGGTCATGTCCTCGGTAAGCTGGAGCAGAGCCATGTCCTGCCTAATCACCTCACCCCAGTTTTTTTAAGCCTCCCTTTACCCCTCCTTTGACTCGCCATGGGCAACCTCTCGCACCTCCTAACCGGGGCATCAACGTCTCTCCTCTTCACATGACCAAACCATCTTAGCCTCGATTCTCTTAACTTTTCTTCCACAGGAGCCACACCCACATTGTCATTAATATATTCATTCCTAATCTTATCTTTTCTGGTATGCTCACACATCCATCGCAACATCCTCATTTCTGCTACTTTCAAAAAGATGATAAGTGCTCCGATGCAAAAATTATGTACAATTCAGGCTAAGCCTGGACTGAATATCCAATTTTCTGCCACATACAGATCTTTCAATTTACACAAAAAAGCTAATTGTTGTAAGCATGATACAACCACATATAGATCTTTCAATTTACACCCAGAAGCTAATTGTTGTAAGCTTTGTATCTTAGACTAAGTATAGATATTCCTTCAAAACATCTTTCATCAACTAAAACCTATCACGATTGTTGTTTCTTGTTTCCTCATGTCATATAATTTTCAGCTGTTGTAGTGCTGCTAGTTCCATTAAATTCTCAATTTCAGTTGATTTATACTTCAACTTGAATCCACCTTTACTTTACATAATGCAAAGCTTGAGTGCCCTTATAGGGTGTTGAAAATGTCCGTTTATCTATCTAATCACCTTTGCTACATCAAAGCAGTTGCATGTCCAGCCAACAATTCCCGAGCCATCACTGACAACCGTGGGTAGCTTCTGCTTTTCACCTTCTACCAGTCCAAGGCATCCGTCGACATTATAGATGCAAGGTCTTTTAAATATTGGATCAGCTCATTTGTGGCAGCGGATCTTGTCCCATGTTTTATCTTTGTCTCACGTTTCTTACGGGCAATTTCCTTTGCAAAAGAAACACTTCCTTCAATTTCTAGCTCCTGTGCAACGTCAAAACTGGTGACAAAAGGAAAATGGCTGGTGGAATAGTTTCTAATGAAATGACTTTTGGCTTCCCTCAAGTACTTTTTGGACTTGAGACTTTTAGGAGTGAGATCAAGCTTTATTCTTGGATAAGGAATGACAGTCATAAATGTGAAGACATTGAAAACTTGGTCAATATAACTTTGTGCTTTTGTAGCGATATCCTCAGCAACACTCTTGAGCTAGCCAAGGCTGCCTTGAGAGACTTTACAGGCACCTTGAGATAATATGTTATCCATGAGAAAATGAACCAAACCAATTGCCTGAATTATATTTTTCAGATGATTTAACTGCCTGAATGCCATTTACCCTTTTAAGAAAAAACGACGTTTACAAACACTATCTTTAGGAGGAAAGACAATAAATGAATATTTTTTTGCTTTTACATTTAATCTGCGGATTTTCTCCATGTAGGCAGATAACTCAAATAAAAATTATTGTCCAAAAGTATGATGAACTACTAGGCGGTAGGGTGCTCCTAAAGATGGTGGAGAAGAATGATGTGAATATCTTGCATGCATATTTAAAAACCTTCTATAACACCATCAATGGATTATGCACAGATAAAGTACTAACAATTAGTTCGGTTCTTTTCCTCATGGATAACATATCATCTGAAGGTGCCTATAGTCAAGACAACCTTGGTTGTCTCAAGCGTGGTGCTGAGGATATCGCCACAAAAGCCTAAAGCTATACTGACTAGGTTTTCAATGTCTTCACCTATATGACTGTCATTCTTTATCCAAGAATAAAGCTTGATCTCATTCCTAAAAGTTTTAATCCAAAAAGTACTTGAGGGAAGCCAAAAGCCATTTCATCAGAAACTTTTCCACCTGCAATTTTTCTTTTGTCACCAGTTCTTACGCTGCACATGAGCTAGAAGATGAAGTGTTTCTTTTGCATAGGAAATTGCTTGTAAGAAACGTGAAACGAGGATAAAACTTGGGACAAGGTTCTCTACCACATGAGCTGAGCCAATATCTAAAAGAGCCTGCAACTATAATGTCAATGAATGTCTTGGACTGATTGAAGGTGAAAAGCAAAAGCTACCCATGGCAATCAGCTAAGTTGCGCGGACTCTTCGATTTTGGTGCCGTCCCAGTCTCGTATCGGGACGGGGACAGGAGCGGGATACGTTCCGGATTTGGTCAACTGACTTCAGACACTTTGACCGGAGCCCATCGACAAATTTGGGAGAAAAATTGAGATTTTGATTTCTCAAAATAAAAAATAAAATAGATTTAGGAGAATGAAAGAATAATATCCATCTTGGTGAGGCGAGAAGATCGTGATCGAAAGCTTCACTGTTCTGAATAGTGAGAAAGACTTTTTGAAATTCGATCAAATCGATTGAGAATCTCATCATCTGTTAGGACCTCACCTTCTCTGGTGTCAGTGAGAGCAATTTGAGTATCCCCCATTGACCTTCTTTTGTAGATAGAATCTTCAATGAGTGGAAGCAAGCAACCTTACTAAGAAAGGTGCTTGTTGAGTAAGGTCGGCTTTCGAGCCCAAGCCCCTTTAATAGGTTGGGCGCTTGAGCGCATCTTTCTCATATCAATCAAGGCTTTCCCAGAAGTCGATGACTATTCATAGCTATTACCTTGACACCAAATGAGCTGTTATTAAAACATTATAAAGTTGATGATTCCCACCAAGAATTTGATCGCCGGGTCGTTCTAATTCCATATGAATCAGTACTCTTTGGCCGGCTGGCTTGTTGCAACCTTCGCATTTCCTGCTGAGATCCCATCCAAAAAGTCACAAAAGGCTTCTTGGGGGGTGTAGGCGGCATTTTCGGCCAAGGTAAGGCCTTCGCTACTTGAGCCGTATGCGGGGGAACTCGCACGTGCGGTTCTTAGGGGGGGAGATCTATGTACAATATTCATGTAAGTTTTTCATTGAATATCTCTCAAAATTTACAATATTTTATAGCTCTATTTTTTATTAGCTGAATCCCTGCACCCGTATCCATATCTGGATCCGCACCCCCGAATCTTAAAATTTAGATTTCGCCGAATCCAATACTCGGATCCGTCTCCGTATTGGATACCCGTACCCGAGTCCGAACAACTTAGGTAATTAGTGATGGCTCGGGACTTGTTGGTTGGACAAGCAACTGCTTTGGCGCCAGAAGACCTTTTCTGCAACAAACGTGATAAGATATATAAACAGACGTTTTCAACACCCTATGAGAGCACTCAAGCTTTACATATTGTAAAGTCATGGATCCAAGGCGGATTCAAGTTGAAGTATAAATCAACTGAAGTTGAGAATTTAATAGAACTAGCAGCGAGTGATGGCTCGGGACTTGTTGGTTGGACAAGCAATTGCTTTGGCGCCGGAAGACCTTTTCTGCAACAAATGTGATAAGATAGATAAACAGACGTTTTCAACACCCTATGAGAGCACTCAAGCTTTACATTTTGTAGTCATGGATCCAAGGCGGATTCAAGTTGAAGTATAAATCAAATGAAGTTGAGAATTTAATGGAACTAGCAGCGTTACAGCAGCTGAAAATTATATGACACGCTGGAACAAGAAACAACAATCATATTAGCTTTTAATCGATGATAGAGTTTTGAAGGAACAACTATACTTAGTCTAAGATACAACATTTAGCTTTTTGGTGTAATTTGGAAGATCGATATGTGGTTGTGTCATGTTTACAACAATTAGCTTTTTTGGTGTAAATTGAAAGATTTGTATGTGGCAGAAAATTGGATAGTTTCTCCCGGCTTAGCCTGTATTATACATAATTTTGAATAGCAACACTTATCATCTTCTTGAAATGTTAACAGTCACCTTTAGCCAGTGAGTCAGTGTGTAGACTTTGCAATTTTGTTGGGTGGTTTCTCATTTCTCACCTGGATCAATCAACAGATAAAATTCTCGCTAAATTCTCACTTCAACTAAGTAGGCGTGGAAGGGTCCAAGCCCCTTTGCTGAAGATGCGAAAATATACTACAGAAATGTAAACATGCTTGAGAAGAAACCCAAAAAAGAAAGCAGATCTATCACAAAATAAGAGTGACTTGTGTGGTTAACACCTATCAAATTGACAAACTTTATATTGATTCTCACATCCATTCAGTTAATTCCTTTAAAACTAAAACTTTTATGATCAAAATTGGAAAAAAAGCACAACCAAACTCAAATGTTAGAAAGTAAAGTGTCCAAGAAGATATGTAGTTAGTGGCCAAAGAAGATATTTTTGACTTTTTAAATTGTAATTAGGTGAAATAAAATTGGACTGAGACCGCCTTTTATGATTTTATTTCTTAAGCTCTATTTGTATGTGTGGTGGCTTAAAATGTAGATGTCTAAACTTTTAAAGCTGATTCTGTTTTCACCTCTTTTTCTCTTTGGATATCACAGGTGCAATGGAGAAAGGTGGTGTCGGGGCACTTGAACTTGTTGCCATGGACATGAAAGCAAGGTTTCTTGTGGGCTATGTATGTCTAAGTTATCAAGTCAGTCTATGTAAATACTATCTAACCTCTTGACGTATTAGGGGTATGTATGTGTGTCGTACACTTAGCTACAAAGGCGCAGAGTTTGAAGTTGTTGAAGTACCTTTAGAGGCCAAGATGCAGGTATGGTGTGTGTTTTTCTTTTCTTTTGTTTTTTCCGGGGTGGGGTGGGGGTGGGGGGGTGATCATTGGTAAGATGTGGTTTCTTGTTCACACTGGTTCAGAATGAAATCACACAAGTGCTACAAGGTGTGAGAAATTGAATCCCTGTCTTCCTACCTATTGTAGTGGCAGAATAGTGTCAGAACTGCTTATATGCCTTGCACTAGAGCTTTGTATTCCTTTTATTGGAGCATATCCCCTGCCATAGTTACTTTATTTGATGTGGCTTGATTCCGAAGTCATTTACCGCTTTGTATTGCTTAATAGGATAATTTCCTGGAGGGTCTTTATCGATCCTTGAAAGAGAACAAAGTAACAATGTACTTGATCTTTACTATGCAGTCTATTGTTTTTCTTGATATATCAACTAGATATGCATTTGGGTTTTGATACTTCATTTATTTGTTCTATGTTTTAAATGGGAAAGATGCTTTTTTCTTCTTTAGCTTATTCAGGGGCTGGGAGATATGAAGAATTGGAATTGCCAAAATATTCTGCCATTTTCTTCATGAATTGTGATTGTAATTTGTTGTTTTAAGCTTCAGTGTTTTTTGATTTCACGTATATTTTTAAAGAAGCATGTACTGCTTTTCTGGTGCATACCCCCGAGCGTAATGAAGGTCTTCCTTTATGTTATGTTCTCAGGACATGTATAAAAAGGCAGCTGAGTTCTGGGCCGAGCTTAGAGTGGAGTTGCTGTCAGCTGGTGTATTTCTCAGTGATGATAAGCCCTCTTCTAATCAGCTCTGGAGACTTTACTGGGCTAATCATCAGGTTTTAGATCTCTGTTTTTATGGCTCAGAAGCTACTTTATGAAAGCAATGTCTTTATGTTATAAGAGATATATGTCTCAGTTGCCTCCTTTTTCCTGTTCTCAAATGTAGCGCTTCTTTAGACACATGTGTATGTCCGCTAAGGTGCCTGCGGTAGTTAGAATAGCAAAGGAAGCACTAGCAGAAAGTAAATGTGTAGTCGTAGGACTTCAGAGCACTGGAGAAGCAAGAACAGAGGAAGCTGTTTCTAAATATGTAAGTCACATGGCTTGTATCATGTTTCTTCTCTCTGTATTTACATTTTCCTAAACACTTTTTTATTCAGGTTCGAAGGATAAGCCAAGTCACATAGTTTTGAGATTGTAATTAGTACAGCTATGCTGTAGATTTTATGCTTTCAGTATCTCCTTGGTACTTATTTAATGAAATTTTTTAAAAAAAGATAAGAAAGTCAGATATGAAAATTGTGTTCTTTAACCCATCTTCTTGTGTTTTTTTGAAATCTTGATAGGGTCTTGAACTTGATGATTTTGTTTCTGGACCTCGTGAGTTGTTACTTAAATTTGTAGAAGAGAATTATCCATTGCCTGAAAAACCTGAACCACTTCCTGGTATGTGCATGGTTTCTGTAATGGCTTTGTGTATCTTCCTCCAATGCCCACAATTTTGCTTACCTTTCTAATTCATGCATAGAGGAAAGTGTCAAAGAGCTTCAACGAAAGAGACACTCTGCAACACCTGGTGTATCATTTAGAGGGAGAGTGAGAAAAGCTGCTAAATGGCAAACGAGTGATCAGAGGAGTGATGAAGAATCAGATAGTTAATCCCTAATCCCTGAATTCTGTTTTTACCTCTTTATTTGTTAATTATGCCTCTCTATTCCATTTGGGTATTTTGCTTTTTGAGGTAAGGCAATGGTGGTTTCCTATCATGTTTTGCAGTTCCGCTGTTAATTAATTTCCAACTATTTTCTTGCAAATAAGGAAATTCTGGGAAACAACTTACTTCCACGTCCAAAATTGATGCTTTCAATATTCTCTGGTTATATATATGCTCAAACATCCTGTATAGTGTATTGATTTTAGGGGGAGTTATCATACATCTTATTTTATTTTTAGTAGTTGTTTGTATATATGCAACTATGCATAGTATGCTACCTCCTCCGTCTCAATTTATGTGCAGTGTTTGGGTTTCGTGAGCCAAACCAAGTTTTTTTTTACTGCAATTTTTTCATATGTATTTTAAATATTTTGAATTGTTAAATTTTACGTAGTTTCCAAATATGTACATTTTATTTTCAAAAACTTAAAGATTCTATGTCCGAACTCACCGTCAAAATTAAGGTGTTTAAGTTGGATTATCTATTGAAGTTGTCCCGAACTCTTTTAGCATTGTTATAATTTGCAGAGTAAAATACATGATGTTTCATATAATTAGCTCTAGGCATTTTTCTCGCTGCTGAATCTTTTTTTATTAAGTACAGCTGATTCCGAATATGAATCTACCGAGTCCGATGATGATGAATTTCAGATCTGTGATATTTGTAATTCGGAGGAGGTACTAGTCCCTGAATCTTGGATCTCCTATTTCCCTTGGTGTGTTATTTGGTTCTTTTGGATTGATCTTCTTACTGCTATCGGTGGTCATCCACGTAGGAGAGGAAAAAATTGCTCCAGTGTTCCTGTTGTAGCCAACTTGTACATCCGACATGTTTAATTCCACCTGTTACAGAGTCAGTTTCTGCGGATTGGTGTTGCCATTCTTGCAAGGAAAAGACAGATGAATATATCCAAGCAAGACATGCCTATGTTACTGAACTTTTGAAAAGGTGGAACATGTGAAAATGTGCTGCTCTGATTATATTCACTTTTTAGCTTCATCATAGATCATCGCACTCGGTGTTTGAGGAAGGTCCAACACTAACCACCTATATGATGTTAAGGTATGAAGGAGCTGTTGAGAGAAGGTCCAAAATTTTGGATATAATTCGTTCTTTGGATCTTCCAAACAATCCGCTGGATGATATTATCGATCAGGTTCTTCCCTTTTCTACTTATACGAGTTTGGTAATCCCTCTCTGTGTTGGGTTTGGGTGCTTAGTGTACTCTTATTTTGAAATGGTAAATATTATTAAAACAAAATAGCACAAGGATTTGTGCCTGGTTACATCCCCAAAAAACCAACAAGGAAACCTGACTATCTGTGTAAAGTTTTTATACATTGTGATCACGCCCAACTATCTAGCGGTCGTCGCAAATTATAATTCGGTTTAAGAGTCTAGAGTCGAATCCCATAGGGAATTAACTCATCAATCACAACTTAATATATCACAAGAATTCAAGCAAATCAATTCTCCAAAATATTCAAATAATGATTTTTGTTTGGCTAAACTAACTAATTGCAAATAATGGAAATGCAGTAAATTATCAACTAATTAAGCAAAGAGTTGAATATAAGATTAAGGAGGCCTAGAGTTATGATTTTCCCAACTGCCGAAATCCTTCTCGCCACGTTACCTATAACTTGGTCAATTTGTTCTTTGCTGATCATGAGCACTATACTTACTGCGATTTTCTCTCGCGCAATCACAATAACTTACTAGAAATATTTTCTCGAACTACTCTAGCTTGCAAATTCTCACTGCTCACTTTGACCACGACAAAGCTTCTTTATTTCTAATCCCGCTTTTAAACCCGCCGTATTGGTTTTTCATGTACCTAGGGAGTGATGTTGTTCAACAACTATTCTAAATATGCTCTAAAAACATATTCCATGTGAGGTAGACACCCTAATTGCTCAGGCATAGTGCCCAGGCACTTTCCTCACAGACAAGATATTTGCCCTTCACTCCCTAGTTTCCCAAGTTTCCGACTCCTTTGCTTATACTCCCTTTGTTCCACTTTATGTAATGTAGTTACTATTTGGAGCGTCAAATACGGTTTTAACCATTTTTTGCAAATACTTTCGAATATTTTAAATTGCTAACTATAGTGACTTATAGTATTTTTTACATAGTTTCTAAAAAATTATAAAGCCAAGTTTTCTTCACAGCATCCATATAACAACTATTCACTATAAAAGTCAAAGTTTTTCTCAGAACTGACCTTTTAAGTTATATTTTACCTCTCTATAACAACTTTTTACCTATAATTGCAACATCCATATTTATAGCAGAACGTTCTTTGTAAAATTGCCCCTCTATAACATCCATATAGAATCTTTAAGATTACGACTAATAATTCTAAAAATATGCACACAATCTTTTCCATTAAACAAAGTTTCTATCTTGCATAATATATAAGATTTGAAGATTTGCACATGATATCTTTTGCATGGGACAAATTTCAAAAAATATTTAGACAGAAAATTTAACTGTTAAGCTCTTAGATTGTCTTCAAGGGAAAACTATTCGATACTTTTTTGCTTTGGACACGAACCTTCGCCAATTCAAGCATTGTATTATTAAGAGAATGAAATCTACAAAATAAATAAGCTTCAATTACAAAGTTATTCCATCAATCTTGAAATAATTTATTTTTCTAGGTAGCTTTAAAATGTCTGATTTAGAGTTTAAATTTGTATAGGTTTAGTTATGACTTTATTAATAATGTATTAGCTTTTTTCAATATTTAATTACTGCAATATGCAAATCTTTTGAGATTTTAAATTTGAATAGTTTTCTTATCCTTTATATGTAACATTAAAAAAGGAAAAATAATTGATTTTTGGATAATTTTTATCTATAACAACCAAAAAATATTTAAACGTCAAATGTTGTTATAGGTGTATAACAACCATTCACTATAAAAGCCAAAAAATATCGGAACAAACGAGGCTATTATAGAGAGGGTTGACTGTATATTCCTTATCAAAACAATTATAATTATACCAACTTATAGTTATATAATAGTCATTTTTCTTTTAAGTTATTAGCAGTAATGGATTTAAATCACTTTGTTGTCTAAAATAAGTTAAATTTCAACAATTTTAAATAACTAATTGTCATATATATTATTCTTATATATTTATCAGCCATTTCCTGGCACTCGTATCCGTACTTGTGTTCGCAGTTGGATCCATACTATTGAATCCTAAAATTTATATGATGACGAATCCGACCTTTAGATTTGCACCCGTATCCCAGCAATATAGGCGTCATGGTTGGCAAGTATTAAGGATGCAACAAGGAACACGAGGAAGGAGGTGCCATGACTATGTGATAATGTAGTTTAGTGCTTGCACTTCCACACATGGAAGGGTTAAGAGTCCTTAAAAGTTGTTGGTTAGTGTAAGCAATTACACGGAGCAAAATATGTGTTGTAACAATTGTGAAATTGGGCAATCCACCATCAAAAGGCAAATATTGTTGGAAAACAAAATAAAATCCTTTTGGGTAACCGTACATATTTTTCATTTTCCACTTTAAAAATTTTCCATTTTTGTTTTCTAGAATATTGCTGATACTTATATTAATTCTTATAACCAAATTTAATGCATAATTTATAAAAAAAATTGAATTTTATTCTATTTTAATAATTTATATGTGTCAACATTAAAACTTCATGGTGCTTATGTCCTACGCCTCAGTTTAGTTCCCTCCCGTGCTAGGTGAAATGTGCCCCATTGTGGTCCGATTTTTTAAAATCTGGTAATGATCGTAATGGCTGATCACGGCCAACTCTAGTCCTAAAAAGGATAAGCGGTCACTGCAAATATAATCCGGTCTAAAAGTCTGGAGTCGAATCCCACATATAACTAAGGTTTAGCTACAATTGTTCACTATTACCAAGAAGACAAGCTTGAACAATTCCTAACTTATAGATATTAAGATTCTTGTGTTTAACTAATTAACTAACAAATTAAAATAGTAAATTAACAATTAAAGATACTAAGGGTTAGAGACAAGATTAAGGAGGTCTAGGGTTATGATTTCTCCAATTGTCGGAATCCTTTTCGCTACGTCTTCTATAATTTCGCCTAAGTATTCTCTACAGATCATGAGCGCTCTAAGTGTCGTAATTCTCTCCCGAGTAACTACCACAATTTACTAGACATATTCTCCTGAATTACTCTACCTGACATGAAGTACGACACTCGGATCGCACCAAGGTTTCGTTATCCCTAATCCCACCTTTAGACCCTCTGTATTGATCCCTCATATACTTTAGGAGTGATGTTGTTCAATAACTACCTAAATGTGCACTCTCTCCCGAGTAGTACACACTAAATAGGCACAGTTGATTGAGAGCTCTTCACCCAACCACAATAAAAACGTAGTTGAACAAATAGAGAAAATACTACAGCAAATCTATATTAACGTAACACGAAAATCATCCTCCAAAAGGTTCCATCATAACGCTAGATAACAAATTAGCTATTCATAATAGTATACATAACTACAATACTAGAATTCATAACCAATAATGAAAATAGGAAGAAGGAAGTGAAAAACTTGTAGAAGAATTCTCCGCCTTGCTCCTGGTGTGTTCTAGCCTCCTTAGGTCTAAATTATGTCAAAAGTCAGTCTCCTTTCTTTTTGGGCGAGTCAGGCTTTATATAGGTCTAGGTTAGTCATCTTTGAAATTACAAAATTGGCCTTGGACTATTTTTCCTCGGACTCACGTGCGCGGCCGCGGATCAACCCCGGATTGACCGTGCATTTTGACCAGTGTTCTGCCTGACATGCGCGGCCAGTGCATGGCCGAGCACTTGCCGCGCACTTTTCACCCTGTTTTGTTGGAAATTTGGAAAAACGTAAAACATGAAACTTGTAGCCCTTTGAGTTAGCTTTCCAACCATATATTGTGGAGCCCAAATGGAGTTCTGAGCGAAAAGTTATGTGCATTTTACTAGACAGTGCGCAATATGCCTACTCGATTCATCGTTCGTTCTTAACTATCATCCGTTGATCCCCGAACACAATCCCGGCTTAATTCCTTGGGCTTTTACTCAGACTTCAAAGCTCTAAATCACTTGAATTCATTTCATAACATCTACATAGCTCGGAATCACTCCTACAAGGCATAAAACACACAATTAGTGCGAAACACTAGCGATTAAAACTCAAACTCAATTAAAGTGCAGTAAATTGGAATGTAATAATCGACTAAAATACGCAATTATAGCCTATCATCAATGGCAAACCTGTTATTTGTCAGATTCCAATTGATTGTACTAATTGTACAAGCATCCATTCTCTACTGTAGTTATAAGCCTTTTCCTGGGCACCAGTTGCAACTTTTGAGACATTACAGGTTAAATTTGCCATATCACACCACTATTCAATGGAAAAAATTAGGTAGGCTGCTCAAAATGTTTAGGTGGTTTATGCATTTGCAAATTCCACCTTTGCACCCAACCCAAGTGCCTCTTTGAGGCATTACAAGCAAGATTTACATATTTCAAGTCTTACGCAGCTTGGGGGCCCAGAGAAAGTGGCAGAAATAACAGGGAGAAAGGGCATGCTTGTGAGGGCATCTGGTGGAAAAGGTGTAACCTATCAGGCACGAAACACGTGAGTTTGCGATGTTTTAAATCAGATTATATCTTTTCTTTCTCATAATAGCTGAGCAAATTTTTCTTGCTTCAGGAAGGATGTATCCATGGAAATGGTTAATATACATGAGAAGCAGCTTTTCATGGATGGGAAGAAGCTGGTAGCTATAATTTCTGAAGCTGGGTCAGCTGGAGTTTCTTTGCAAGCTGATAGAAGGGCTTTAAACCAGGTAGCTTTTTGATTTTTTTTGTTTTCATCATTTACTGCATGACCACTTCAATGAAGATTGTTAAATATATATATCTATATGTATTATGTGTGTGTGTGTGTGTGAATGTAGTAGACACCCTACTACACCCTCTTTTCTATATTTATCTTCCGATCCTTAATTGATGGCTGCTTTTGGTAGCTGTTTTCTGATTATGTTGTTTGAATTTCTTCCCTTATGTCAGAGAAGAAGGGTTCATTTGACTTTGGAATTACCTTGGAGTGCTGATCGGGCAATTCAGCAGTTTGGAAGAACTCATCGCTCAAATCAAGCTTCTGCACCTGAGTATAAGTAGGTACCGTGTCTGTTGATACGTGAGTAATGATTCTGCTATATGATGGAAAACCTGGACTGTACGAGTCACCATTGTAACTCGAGTTGCCATTGTAACTATATGATGGCGTACCTTGACTTTACAAGTTGCCACTAAATATGTTTTTCATACTTGTCAAAAATCAATCTCCCTGTATAAAGTACTTATATCATATCTTTCACATGTGATATTTTTCTCTTTCTCAATATACAGGCTACTTTTTACTAATCTTGGTGGAGAACGGCGGTTTGCATCTGTGGTTGCTAAGAGACTTGAATCACTTGGGGCATTGACTCAAGGAGATCGACGGTGAGTGCGATATTGTTTAGCATATATTGCAAGTCTGATTATGACAACATGCATGTGAATCAGTGGCTCTTTTCAATTGCTCTTGATATATTGCAGAGCTGGACCATCTCTTAGTGCTTATAACTATGATAGTTCCTTTGGGAAGAGGGCCCTGATGATGTTGTATAGAGGCATCATGGAGCAGGTGTCTTACTGCTGCTTGATACTGTCATTTTTATCTTGTATTCGATTCCTTTCCCACTTTAGCATGTATATGTGCAAATCAAAAGTCAATCTATGGTTTGCAGGATCCTTTGCCACTTGTACCACCAGGTTGTTCTGCTGATAAACCAGATGCTATACAGGATTTCATTTTGAAGGGGAAAGCTGCGCTTGTTTCTGTTGGAATAATAAGAGACTCAGTTCTTGGTACTACGTTTAGCTCTTTAAATGAATCAATTTAAAGTATTGTTAGTGGAGACAAATGAATACTAGCATAAGAAGTTTATCAGGGCTCTCAAAGTCATCACAGCCTCTCAATCAAGTATCTTCTGACTGTGGAAAACGTCTTTAAGCAAAAAAAAAAAAAAAAAAAAAAAAAAAAAAAAAAAAAAAAAAAAAAGAAAGAAAGAGGAAAGGTTCTTCTGTAAAACCATTCGATGCTAACTTAATGGCTACTTGCTCATTAGACCAGCCTGCTATATATGTTGTTCTTTCGGCCCTCAATAGGAAAATATGGTAAGGTCTAGCCCCCTTACTTGTACTTTCCTCTTTTAGGTTTTTCAATATTAATAAAAGCCCACACATGGAAAAACTTCAATTGCTGCAACAGTACTGAAAAATCTGCTCTCAGGCACACTCCCCGAGGAGCCTGAGAACCTGAAATTCTGAGTTCATACAAACACCATCGGAGAGCCAATAGTGACGCGAGCCTACCCCTGCAAACAGATCCGACATCGGATCTCCCACGCGTGGCCAGTCGCCGGCGAACACTCCACCACGCGCCGGCGCTTGAGACTATTCCAGGCAACTTTTCAAATTTTTTCTTAGGATAGCCTCTTCAGCACCCTTTTCCTACCCAATCCATACTTGCAGTTCTAGATTTCGACCACTTTTACTTTTCTCCGGCGACGGGAAGCTTTTTTCCGGCCATTTTTCAATCATTTTTCATTCAGCTGCAAAACAGAACTCTCTTTTCTTCTTCTCAAAGTCTGCATAATACCATTACGAGGAGCTTCTCAACGGAGCCAAACATCTCCTTCGGAATCAGTATTCACCCACTGTGATTACTACCAAACACCCTCTATAATCGTCATAACCTGAGCAGCTGGTTAGTAAAATATGGGAGACAACAGGATATACTTCAACGCCGGATTCAAATCTTTCGACATCACCAGATGGAACTCCAACAAAGATATATGGTTTGAATGGGTGGAGAGAAGCCGCAACATGATGAGACGATTATCCATGGGTAGAAAGACAATGGAATGGATTTGCTTTGTCCTTAAAGAAGCCTCGACAGATCAAAAGAATTTAGTGAAGAGATGGAAGTATAAGAACCAAATGATAGAACATTTCTGCACTAGGAAATTTAACGCTCATGGAAGATATATGAGTATTCTGTCACTAAAGGGAGAAGGGAGGTCAGTTGTTATAATCCCAGAGTTAGCTTTGAATGCATACTGGAAAGACATAACAGCTAAGATAGAAAGATTCATCTATCATGCCCCCAAGATGAATACCGCAGTACCACCCAGAAACACTGTGGACAACTATCCTTATGTCAAAGCAGTTAAGGAGAGTAAATGGCAATACAATACCCTTCGAGAGGCAAATGTCAGTACAAACAATAGAGATATCTTTGTTTTGGAACCTTTAGGAGCAGAGGACACATGTTTACTAAAAAGATGCATTATTGGGTATTTTGGGAAAGAAATCACCGAGAGACCCACTTTAGCAGACATAAGGAGATGGGGTACTGCTTCATGGAACAAAGCATATGGAGTCAACATGTATGACATGACTGGCAACATGTTTCTATTTGAGTTTCCGAACAGATACATGGCTGAGCAGATTTTGCAAGGAGATTGGAGATGGAAAAAGTTCAAGCTTCATCTGAAATGGTGGAACTACACTGCTGGATGCATTCCAAACTCTCAAATTGTGGAAACATGCTGGATTAGAGCCATGGGGATTCCCTTACATCTGTGGTCACAAAAGATCTTCAAAGAAATAGGAGATCTCTGGAGGATGGATTGCTACTGAAGAAGAAACTGATCTCAAAAATCACCTTAAGTGGGCTAGAATTCAAATTGTTGGTGATAGCAGAAAGATTCCTAATGAGATTGGGATTGAAAGAGAATGGATCAAATTTTTCATCCCAATCTAGGCTGAAAAACAGGCAAGATTTGAGCTGAAGTCGTCGGAAAACACACATAGCTTTGGAGCAGAGAGAAACATGGGCGACCAAGTGGGATGCACCATATTGCAAAATAATAATAAGGGAAAGGCATGGGTGCAACATACACAAGGTCTAAGTCCGACAAATATGAGCATTAATGCGGCGAAAAATGAGGTGAAATCAAATGAGTCTGATTTGGCTGCACAAGTCATTTTTAATGATCTCTCGTGTGAGGCCACTGATGAATTTAGGCTGACGCCTCATATTGAGGAACTGAGGTGCACCTCTTACTTGAAAGTCAAAGAATCCAATACAGGGGATCCAATTCCCATTGCAAACCTTGAAATTATGCCACAGGCAACACATATGAGTTGCGATCAACAAGAAGGTGAAGCAGAGATAGGAATACTGGGACAGAAGGCAGGGGAACATACTAAAAACAAAAAGATGGGGGAAGATCAAGTTGAAAATGCATTGGAGCACCAACAACAGCTAAAGCACTTCAACTCTATCCAAGATTGGGAAATCGAGGAGTTTTCTCCTATATCAGTACAACAACACAATCCAGTAATGGATAAAGATATGGATGCGACATTGTGGGTCCATCAAAATATGATCAGATTGGGGAAAATGTTTGGAGTAGATTTTCATGGCCATGAAGAAGAAGCATTGGAGTTACTAATGCAAATTGACAGTTGCAGACAAGTTAGAAGAGCGGAGACAGAGATGGAGGTGAAGAAACAAAGGTTCAAAGGCTCACTGGAATTAAAAGGATTAACCTCCTTTGATGTCAAATTCAAGAGTGATGGAAAAAGGAGTAGGAGAAGAGATCTATCTATTATTGCAATATGAAGATCAATTTAATTTCATGGAATGTAAGGGGATTAAATGACAAGAAGAAAAGGAGATCATAAAAAGTCAAGTACTGAATTGGAAGGCAGATATTATCTGTATGCAGGAGACAAAAGTGGAGGGGATATCAAAGAAATAGTCAATCAAATTTGGGGTGGGAGATGGGTGAGGTATGCATGTTTAGAAGCTAGCGGCACGAGAGGGGGGATTTTGTTACTATGGGATTGCAGAGTATGGAAAAGGGAGGTGTTACAGACTGGTGCATACACTTTGACATGCAAGTTCGAGGCTCTTTTACAGAATTTCAATGTCATATAACAGGAGTGTATGCTCCAAATTGCAGAATAGAAAGAAGAACAGTATGGAGAGAAATTGGCGCAGTGAGGGGATTGATGGAAGGCCCTTGGGTAGTCTGTGGTGATTTTAACGTCACAAGGTACCCTTCTGAAAAATGGGAATGCTCGAGGAGGTCCAGAGAGATGGTGGAATTCTCGGATTTTATAGAAGACATGGAGTTGATAGATCTTCAACTCGAAGGAGGCTACTATACTTGGTTCAAAGGGGATAATCCTACAACTGCTTCTAGAATTGATAGATTTCTCATTTCAGAAGAATGGGAGGAAAGCTTCAGAAATATCAAGCAAACTCTCCAACAAAGGCTGATTTCTGACCATGCACCAGTGGCTCTATGCTGTGGTGTCTTGGAACAAGCTAAATCATACTTCAAGTTTGAAAACTGATGGCTGAATGTGAAAGGTTTTTATGACAGAATTAGAAACTGGTGGACATCTTTTGAATTTTCAGGAAGACCAGACTATATTTTAGCTTGCAAATTAAAAACTCTCAAAGGCAAGCTAAAAGAATGGAGCAGAAGTTGTAAAGGAAATCTGGGATTGCAAAAATCAAAATTGTCGAGTCAATTGGCAGGTTTCTAGGCAACACAACAATTAAGAGCTCTGAATCAGAGAGTGGAGACCGACAGTCAATTTCGAAAACAGTCCAAAGATCTCTGAATCAGAGAAGGAGTCTTTATAGAGTAAATTTGAGGAACAAGAAGTCCTGAGCTGTCTGAAGATTTGTGCAACTGACAAGGCCCCAGGTCCAGATGGATACACAATGGGTTTTTTCATTATGTGCTGGGATATTTTGAAGCACGACATCATGGAGGCCTTCAACAACTTCCATTCCCAAGAGATGTTTGAGAAAAGTTTCAATGCAACATACATAGCCTTGATTCCAAAGAAGACAGGTGCGAAAGAATTGAGAGATTTTAGGCCAATCAGTCTGATAGGGAGTTTCTACAAACTACTCTCAAAAGTCTTGACTGAAAGACTTAAGAGGGTGGTAGGAAAACTAGTAGATGCTCAACAAATGGCTTTCATCAAAGGAAGACAAATAATAGATGCAGTGTTGATTGCTAATGAAGCTGTGGATTCAAGAATCAAAAAGAAAGAACCCGGAATCCTATGCAAACTAGATATTGAGAAGGCTTATGATCATGTCAACTAGAGCTTTCTACTGAAATTGTTAGAACAAATGGGTTTTGGGCAGAAATGGATCAGTTGGATGAAATTTTGCATATCTACTGTTACCTTCTCCATTCACATAAATGGATCTCCTGAAGGTTTCTTCCATGCACACAGAGGTCTAAGATAAGGTGATCCTTTATCTCCCTTTCTATTCATTATAGCCATGAAAGGACTGAACAACATGATTAAAACGGTCAAAGTAAATGGATGGATTAAAGGTTTCGAGGTTCACAGGAATGAAGCAAACAGTCTAGAGATCACACATCTTCAATATGCTGATGATACTCTAGTCTTCTGTGACGCTGAAGAGGAGCAACTTAGGTTTCTAAGGATCATCTTGGTCTTATTTGAGGGAATTTCGGGACGACACATCAACTGGAGAAAGAGCCATATCTATCCCATTAATGTAGTTAATAACATGGAGCAACTGACACAGATAATGGGAGGAGAAGTAGGGTCCCTACCAACTGTATACCTTGGGATGCCTCTTGGTGCAAGATCCAAATCCAAAGAGATCTGGAATTCAGTCATTGAAAAGTGTGATAAGAAGCTGTCAAGATGGAAATCGCAATACCTATCAATGGGGGGTAGGCTAGTTTTAATCAACTTAGTATTAGACTCACTTCCTTACATGATGTCTTTATTCCCAATTCCTGCCGGAATCATACAGAGACTGGAGTAACTCCGAAGATCCTTTCTCTGGCAAGGGAATAAGGAGAAAAAGGTCTTCCATTTAGTTAAATGGAAGACCCTCACAATGGCCAAAAAACAAGGTGGTTTAGGAATAAGAAATTTGAAGAATCAAAGCAAGTTCTTAGAATGAAATGGCTAGGGAAATATTCTCAAGAACCTCAAACTTTATGGAGCAAAGTGATCAAAGCTAAGTACGGTGAGGAAAATAACTGGGTGTCAAACAAAGTCAGCACATCATATGGAGTTAGTGTGTGGAAATCCATCAGAGAACTTTGGCCTATAATGAAGATTCACTCCTCCATAAGAGTGAACAACGGAAGGAACACATTATTCTGGAATGATAATTGGTTGGGACATGGAAGCCTAAAGGAAAGATACCCCGATATGTTTGGTTTGGCACAAAACCAGCATAGGACAGTAGCTGATATGTGGAGTTATCAAGGATGGAAACTCACTCTTAGAAGACAATTGAATGACCGGAAGATAACAAGATTAGCTGACCTCTACAAAGAGGTGGAAGCATTTAAAGGATTAGAGGAAGGGGTGGATTCACTTTAGTGGCAGAGGCACAACAGAGGGGTCTATCAGGTGAAGGGTGCATATAAGATTTTGGATCAAAATGATCTTCAGGTAGATGCTTGGCCATGGAAGCATATATGGAGAACAAAGATTCCATATAAGGTAGCATGTTTCTCTTGGCTACTAGCAAAGGAGGCTGTATTAACCCAGGATAATCTCATAAAAAGAGGAATTTCACTGTGTTCAAGATGTTTCCTATGTGGGGAAAATGCTGAGACTGTTAGCCATTTATTTCTACATTGCAAGATAACAGTCCAACTATGGAAAATCTTTATTAGTCTTAGGGGTATTTCATGGACAATGCCATGCAGGATTAATGAAGTTCTTTATAGTTGGGAAGAAGCTGGTGCTGAAGCAACTAACAGAGATAGATGGAGGACTGTCCTGGCCTGTATCTGGTGGACAGTCTGGAGGGAAAAAAATGCTAGATGTTTTGAAGATAGATGCAACCCAGTACAGAAGATCAAACTCAATTGTATTCTTCTTTTTTGTTTTTGGTGTAAACAGATTTACATAGAAGATACATTGACAATCGTAGACATACTAGGATCTTGCTAGGTTGCACACCAGCACATCTACTTACCACCTACTTGTAAATCTGGTTTTCAGTACAACCAATGTATTGATGTTATTAATATATACAAAAGTTATCAATTCAAAAAAAATAAAAGCCCACACATGCTCTCTGCATAGGTGGTATTGGACTTAAGGATAAAAAAGAGCACTTATTAATAAAGAAATGGACATTGAGCATAATTCAACCCCGAAAGCTAGAAAGTGAGGATTGCTCAAGCAGTAGACCAAGTCCCCCATCCCCATCAAATGTGGGAGGGTCTCAACACCCGCGCCCTCCCAACCTGCACACCCAAGCCTGCCAACTGAAGTGTGGACAATATAATATGGGGGTCCAACATTGGTGTAACAAAGAATTGGGATGGGTACGGTTCTGATACCATGATAGAGAATGGACATTGGGCCTAACTCAACCACAAAAGCTAGCTTACAAGGTAAGGATTGCCCATGCCATATTAGGAGACCAAGTCCCCTTCACCATCAGATGTGGGAGACTCTCAACACTTATAAGTTGCTTTCTATAACTTGGAGGGCTTTTATCAGAGACTCTTAAGAATTTTTATATTTTTGTGCCCGCATACATGGTTGTGCATACATTCATGCATCTTTGTGGCCGGTGGTGTTTGTTCGTGTTTCCTTTACATGCTAGGAAGAATTATTGTCCATTGCTGAAGGCAGTTAAGTTTTCCTTCTTAAAAAAAATAGTCAAACTTGTTTGGGTTTGGTGACTAGTATTTCAGTGTTCACCCTCTCATCCCAAACTTACCCTTTTTCAACTCTTTGCTTTTACTGATCTTTAAGGTAATGGAAAGGACTCTGGAAAGCTTTCTGGCCGTATAGTTGATTCGGACATGCATGATGTTGGGCGTTTCCTTAACAGGCTCTTGGGATTGCCACCTGAAATCCAAAATAGGTTTATTATCTATCAATTTAAATATGGATGCTTGCTATCCATGTCTGTAACCAAAAAGTTTGTTTTGAATTCAGGCTTTTTGAGTTATTTGTCAGCATTCTTGATCTTTTAGTTCAGAATGCACGCCTTGAAGGACATTTAGACTCTGGAATTGTTGATATGAAAGCTACCACTGTTGAACTACAAGGGACGCCAAAGGTTATGCTGTTCCTGTTGTCTTTGCATTCTTATATAAAACATGTTGTGACATCAACCTATTACAGACTGTTCATATTGACAACTTGTCCGGGGCTTCAACCATATTGTTTACTTTTACATTGGATCGTGGACTCATTTGGGAGGTATATACATATGTATATATTACCATTATAAACTTGAGTTAGTTGGCTAACTTCCAAGTTTTCTTTGTAACCTTTTATTTTCCACCTGTAGTCAGCATATGCGTTGCTTGAAGAGAAGCAAAAGGATGAGTCTAGTTCAACTAATAGTGGATTCTATGAATCCAAACGAGAATGGTTGGGAAGACGGCATTTTCTATTAGCATTTGAAGGGTATGGAAATTTTTGGTCAGTAGTTTTGTTATTTCTGTATATTGGTATTTTGGTTTGCAAGTGCAGTCAACCTTATTCAACTTGGTATAAGGGACCAGGTTGTATTTCTTTTGCATGCACAAAGTATTATGTCTACGTCAATCAGTCAACTACATTTCAATCCCAATCCCAAATCATCTGGGCTTTATGAGTGATTTGTACCTTTTCCGCTCTATCCAAGTCCATTTCCCCGTGCATAGCAGAAACTTAATGCACATGGCTGCCCTTTAAGGCAACTTAAGGATTTTCTATATCTCACGCTTACCTTACATGGATAACTAATTTAATCCCAAATAGTTGGTAGAACTTATATAGATCCATTTGTTTTATTTTTAGCTAAGTATGCATTTATTAGGAGAAACTTAAGGTTTTCTGTGACAACTTCTCTCCATGTGATTTTAGGTTTATCTCATCTAATTTTAAGACCTTGGATAATCATATTCAACTTAGGTCGTAACTAGACAATCTCATGCTATCTTTTCTCATTTTAGCATCTATTTATGCTTCTTGCATCTGTTGTTGTGTATGATCATTGTAATCTTGTTCAATCTTAAATGACTGTGCATCTATTTTAACATTTTCATTTCAACGGAATTCATCTATTTTAACATTACTGACAACTGTCCTATATAACTTGTTAGGCATCTTCCAATCTTGTGAGGCTCCTCCATTTCAGAATTTTATCTAATTTCCTTGTTATCATTTGATGAAGGAATATTTTAGGAGAAAACCCCAGTATACAAGTATATAAAAGAGTAGCGGTCCTAGAGAAAATATGGTTCTCAAGAATGGCATCCAATTATTTAACCTAATAGACCTTGTGGGCGGTGGATATGCAAAAAATTCATCAGAAACAAAACATCACTCTTTTAACTCTACAGATTCATATGCTTACTCAGTGGCTAGACAACTTTGGGCTCAGTTTTCTCGTATATTTGGGCTGAATTGGGTCATACTAAAGTGGATCTTCTGGCACACTGCGAATCCCTTCTTTCTTTCATGAGATATTGTTATTGTGTGTTAAGAAGCTCTTCGTGAAAGAAAAATTTCTAGGAGTGAATTCTGTTCTACCAGTGGAAGTACAGACAAGATTTGTACCACAAAACAAGGGGACTATAAACCAAACTTCTTTATTCTCGATAACTGTGATAGATGTTTATGTTTATTGGCATTCTGGTTTAAACAAGAGGATGTACATGTATACATTCTGTCTTACTTCTACTCCTAAAACCCTTACTCTCCAGAGGGGTTCTCTACAGTTCCAACTTTTAGCTGGTTTCATCAATTAAAACAAAATTGTCTTCGGACGACGTGCACCATTTATACCTCATGAAACTTCGAAGTAAAAAATGTGCCATTCTCAAGCTTTCATCTAGCAATTTGAAGATTTTGTATGAATTGGAAAGAGACATAGCGTGATGTTCCCCTAGCTGGCCTTCCTTTCACAACTAATGCAGGCTCATGCATGGTCTAAGTCTTATTCCTGTAGTTGGATTTTTTTCTTTTATAATGTTCAATTTTGATTAGTTTAAAGAGTGCAATGTTGATTTTGTTCAAAAAGGTGCCTTTTGTCCAAATGCCCGTGATTTTGATCTTTCTGTTTCGTGATTATTTCAGTTCTGCTTCAGGAATGTACAAGGTATTTCGTCCAACTGTTGGAGAGGCCCTTAGGTACTAAAGGTTTTTGACTTTTGGGCTTTAGGTTAACTTCTTCCTTTTAGGAATTGACTGCTTCGTGCTCTGCACCCTAACCCATCTTCCTCTTCCTTGTGCTGTGCTTTACTTGACACTTCTCAATGTCTAGGGAGATGCCCCTCGCAGAATTGAAAGACAAGTACCGAAAACTATCGTCCTTAGAAAAGGCCCGTCATGGATGGGAAGATGAATATGATGTTTCATTGAAACAGGTAAAATTCTTTATGATCATATATCTTGCAGGATATCCTGATGAAAAGTGCCTTGGGAAGCTTCCTTGATCTTTTTATGTCATAGGATCAGCATTCCAGTGTTTTGCTGCATCCTGATCTTGTTTATGAATTGGTTATCTAATAGCAAATAAAATTCCCATTGAACTTCCATTTTCACTAGCCTGATATGGGAGAGTTCATCTGATAGAAGAAAAGACCTGGGAAAATGGAGCAGTTTAAATTGATTCATTGGAAACTATTAATTGCAATCCTCGTTTTAGACATAATCTCTTCTCAAATAAGAACCAGTGCGGGATTTTCGGCGGAATTCGGTATTTCCTGGGGCTCAGATATGGAAAAGACTAAAATCTTTTGATGAATATTATGACAGAACTCAAAGGCTGGACTGTTGCTTGAACTATGGTGATTAAAAGAGGAAGAAAGACAATGTGCACACTGCTGAATAAAAGATTAACCTTGATAAATGACCTTGTATTTGTGTTTTCAGAGAGTACTAGGTACAGGATGTAGATATATCTGGAACAATTTTTAGGTTTCAGTGTATGTATCCATTGTATATAGCTGGTATTGCCTTGATTTGAACAGGCTGCATCCCTCCTTTTATTGCGTTTCTAGTACACCTTTATTTGCCCGTAAATAGAAAATAAAATCAAAATAAAATCAATTTGATGGGGCAAACTTATACTTTTAACACAAAAATGTTGATTCTAGCTAGGCTTCATGGGGAAAAAAAACGAGAGGATCACCCTTAAATGTTTCTATTAGGCCTTGATTGTTGTAAGTAATGTAGAGAGAGGAGACTCACCTTATTGCCATAAAAAGCTCAGCTAACTTTGTTTTGTTTTATTGGATTATGAAAATGCCCTTGGAGTATTCGTGGATTTGTTGTTGCTGAGTATTTCAAGCATCACTTCTTTCAGAACTCATTCTGGGTTTCACCTGCAGTGTATGCATGGCCCAAAATGTAAGCTAGGCAGTTTCTGCACAGTCGGTAGAAGATTACAAGAAGTTAATGTGTTAGGTGGTCTTATACTTCCTGTGTGGGGAACTGTTGAGAAGGCGCTCTCTAAGCAAGTAAGATATTCTTCTTTCATTTGTTTTTCAATATCGTTTTCCTACAGTATATTCTCTGATATATCTTGGATGTGTCACACATGCGATACATGAGCTGAGAAATCCATAAGTGAGGAATACGCTAAAAAATAAGAGTATCTCATGATAACTGATAAGTGAATCAAGAGATGGAGAAAGCAGAAGATAAAGAAAGTAGAAACAAAATACTGAGAACTGATTATCTTGCTAAAAAAACTGTATACGACCAACAAAATCCAAAACCATGCGGAACGTAAGTTGGCTTTAGAAGGACAGCAAATGGAAATGGCTGCTATCAAGTAATATTTTGACCCATAACTGTAAGGCTCTTGCTAAACAGAATGTCATGTGAGCATTGCCTGAAACGTCAAACAGAACCAGCACAAGATGCTTATGTCAAGCTTGCGATATTACTGACTATAACACTTCCATTGGAAATGTTCATTTTGATCTGCAAAAATCCCAAGGATAAGCGATGATTAGAATTATATATTGAACCCTGTACCTGCCACACACACAGCACAATCTTTGATAACCACCTCACATCTTCTGTCCATTTCCTTTAAGATCTTGTTTCACAGTTAAGGCCTTTTATCTCTTCCTTATTCACCAGTGGTTTACCCATGTTTCCTATGTAGCATTCTTTGGGGGATGGGGGGTTAATAATCATATAATTTGCACAAAATAATTACTGTCCATATAATTCATAGAAAGCTTGCACTTTCAGCTACAGCCTACAAGGAGCTCAAAAAGTTGAAAGATTTTCTAGACGAGTTAAAACAATGGTGTCTGCTCAGGAAAGAAAAAACGTGTGCNGGGGGGGGTTTAATAATCATATAATTCGCACAAAAAAATTACTGTCCATATAATTCATAGAAAGCTTGCACTTTCAGCTCCAAGGAGCTCAAAAAGTTGGGAGATTTTCTAGACTAGTTAAAACAATGGTGTCTGATCAGGAAAGAAAAAACGTGTGCAAACATCTTCTCTTAAGGATACTAGAATTTGTTGCATGTCATTGAAGCATGTTCTCTTCTCTCCTTCAATAATGTCCAACCAAAGCAAAACGCAACAGCTTTCAACAACATCTGTAGTTTCTTTGGTACTGGATTTCCTTGCCGCACTTTGGAACATCTGGCCACACTGATAGGCACGATCAAGGGGAGTTCTTAGAGGTTAAGAAAAGTATTCCACAATTCAGTAGCCATAGTACAGTGAAGAAACAAGTGTGTTATAGTCTCTTCCTTTTTACCACTCATGGGATATCTGTTAGCACAAGTGTACGCCTACTTTATTAACCCTGTCCAGTATCACTAATGCTTCCTTGGCTGCTATTCAACCAAATAGGATTCCACTGAAAAACACTTTTTTTGTCAACTGATCATGTTGAGTGTGGATTTCCACCCAATCTCTCATGCCTATTCAATAACCAAATTATTTCCCCCAGTCATTACCTCAGTCTTACGATTATGCAGTTCTTATGTTGTCTGCAATTGTGGATTTTTGATCTACAGCTACATTGAATAAATCTTGGAGGTCTAAACTCAGAGGTGTTTGTCCACCAGACCAGCAAAGTGTTTCTATCTATCCCACACCAACATGACAATGCCTGCATCCCTACTTTTTCACAGATTTTTTGGCTGATTCATTATAGATGGTTTTATCTTCTGATCTGAAGGTTCTGGGTACTGATTGTTTGCTGTTCTCCCTCTGCATGTACATTTATATGTGAGGAAGGTAGGTGGTCATGACTGTTTTTTTCTGTTTTTCATTATGTAACACTAATGATTATTTAGATTGCACAAGTGAAGTCACCAATGAATTAGATAGCACATCGTGCCATTCTTTTCTGAAATCATTTGCCTGTTAATTGAGTTGATTTATCAAAATTCAAGTACAGTATTCCTACTGCCAGATATCACTACCATTGTTGACACTTGATGAACAAAAAAGGGATACTGTAGGTTTAAAGTGAGCAGGCTCAGTATATAAATCCTCTACATAGCTAGAGAAAGTCTTCTGGCCATTGCATCTGAGATTTTGCTACAATCGTTTGTGCTTTATTTCTTGCGTCGAGAGAGATAATTTTCTTCTAAAAGGGTTGTTGCACCATCCTCACTCGTTTACTGGCTCCCAATTGTTGTTGGATACAGGCTCGCCAAAGCCATCGGAGAATCCGCATTGTACGGATTGTGACAACGACTGACAGTCAGCGAATTGTAGGGTTGCTTATCCCAAATGCAGCAGTAGAATCAGTGCTTCAAGGTTATAATACTCTTGACTCTCCTTTCACAATTGTATCTAGTGCATTGCAACCAACTTTGGGGGTTTGATTCCTCTTGTTATGTGTCCCATATTGGGAGGGATGGTTGTTTGTCTTCTGGTTTTGGGCTATCCTCACCTCATTAGCTAGCTTTTGAGGTTGAGTTTGGCCCAAAGTCCATTTGTTAATATGGCATTAGAGCCAGGGCCATCCCTGTTATTGTGTTTTCCAATGTTGGGCTCCCATGGTATATTATCTATGTTCAAGTCGGCAGGCGTGGGCGTGCAGGGGATTGTTGGGGGGGGGGGATTGCTTTCCATATTGGTTGAGGGATGGATGTTTGTCGGCTTATATGGTTTTGGGTAATCCTCACCTCATGAGCTTATTTTTTGGGGTTGAGTTAGGCCCAAGGTCCATTTCTTAACACCTCTAGACATGCCCTCATGTTTAATAAGAGAAGTATCATAAGTCTCTCATTTTATCTTAGTGCATTGCAAATCAAATTAATGTCTTGTTGGGACCATCTTTTGTACATGTTTGTCTCTAGGGTAGAAAATCTAAGAGAGTTCTATATGAACACAGAAATGAAGTGGGTCTCAAAATGGTTGCTAGACTCCCAGGTGCCACGTCTTGTGATTTAGTTTGTAATTCAGAATTCCATAGCATGAGACATCTTTCCAGTTAGTGTGATTGATTCAGTGGAATCCATTATTCTTCACTTGTTTGGTTGACTCGATAATTTGTAAATGACGTGCCTTTTATTGGTTAAATATGATTTGTGCTGAAATTTTGATAGCAGATTTGGCATGGGTCCAAGATGTTGACGAATGAGAGAAGAGCAATTAAGGTTTTTTGTGCCAAGTATAGATGATTTCAAAAGTTGATGGAATGGCCTAGCAAGATGGAGTTGTCATTGTACGCTTTCAGAATGAAGCGCATTGTATGGTGGTAGAAAAGCAGTCTTTGTTACAAGGTCCAGGGAATGAGATTGGGGCACCCTCGCATCGCTGTCATAATTCTTTTGCATAATTTTTTTGGAATATCCATTCCTTGTAAATTAAATCATTTAAATCATAGGGCAATTTTGGGGTTGCTGGAAATTCTGCCACAGTTTTGTATCTAACCTTCAAAATATACAGAGTGTTAGAATTCAATACAGTTTCCTCTCAGTTCATCTGTGTCAGCCAAAGGACCAGCTAAATGATGCAATTTGAGTACTGACTTGTTGACAACTAGAAGCCGACCATGTGCTCTAGTTAGATTGACCAAATATTTTATTATGGAATTAAACGTCATTGAAGTTTTTTCCTTGGCGCAGAAAACAAGAGCCTGATTCAGCAATAGATGCATTGTCAGTATTTGGAAGCTTATCCCTTGAGCATGTTGGCTATGCCCGGAAAACATGTCCTTCGGTGGATATTTGGCCATTTGGATATGATTATGTTCAAATTTGTGTTTCTCCAGGTGTCATGTCTGGTGATTGATCGCAGGATTCTTGGTCCCTCTGGCAGTCAGGTGATGAGAAAGCCATTTGTCGAGCAGGTCGTCACTGTCGCGACGTAAATCTCCTGCTTGCTTTCATATGGCAGATTTTGCGTTTCACTCTGATCATTTTCTTTATGAATCGTTTAGTAAAACTTATCCAAATGAATCCTGAATACTTAACATTGTTGGACTATCTACTCATCTTAACCGTAAATAGCGCGAAGTGCCAACAGTGAATCCCTTTACTCCTATTTGTTTCGCATCTTTGGCAGCCGGGGTGAAATTTTTAATACCAATGTAAAGATAGGAGACGGAAGATGGGTAACATATTGAACAGAACGTTTTGGTTGGGCATACTCCAACTTAAGAGCGATTTTCCAAGGTTGTACTGATTAGCATCTTTTTGGTCTTTGTGACGGCATAAATTATTTCTACTTGGGGCAAATCAGCTTTTGAACAGCTGTTGCTCTTCTTGGAGAGATGAAAGAATGGCAAACCTCAGACAGTCTCAAATTTCAAACATGTGGTTGAAGCTTTCAGATTCGAGATTTGAAATTTGATTCTGAGGCAGCTAAACTTTAAATAACTATAAATTTACTATTCTCTAGATAACAGTTTGCACCGGTTGTCCTCCTAAGAGAATGGTCTTTAAATATTGTTCCTGTTTTTTACTTGGTTGTGAAAATAGGCCTTTTTAGTTTTATATGTGATGTATTATTCTTCTTCGTCAAGAACATCATAGTTTATCAATTTTAGAAGTTTGAAATTCCAGTTTAGGGGTAAACAGTAAAAGTTAATCATTGATTATTGTTAAAATCACTTGAATATTAATAATTTATGCTTGGAAAGTGTTGAAGAAGATAAAATGAGCCTTCTTGATTTGGTATTATTCGATGAAATTGGTTATTAGGGATTGCTTGTGTGGTAGATTTGTGGTTGTTTAATCCTAATTAAATTGCAAATCGAGAACATTTAGTTGAACGATACATGTAAATTATGATAGTCATGTAGACTTTGACGAAGAATTTGATGATACGGGGAATGTAGATAACACAAACTCATGCCAATCTACTAGAGTTTAGTGAATACCACACACAGTCATACCAATTAGGTAGAGTTTATGAGTTATCCAACATAATAGTTAGATTGCATACAACACGAAATCCCACCAATGATTTCACTTTGAGTGAAAACTTGTAATTATGACTAGATTGCATACAACACGAAATCCCACCAATTATTTCACTTTGAGTGAAAACTTATAATTATGATAACCTGGTAGAGTTTGTGAGTTATCTAACATGATAGCTGTATTGAATGTAGCATAAAGTTTTACCAATTTATCAAAACATTACGATGACGACAACAACAACTATGACCCAGTGAAATCCTATTAATGGGTTTGGGGGATAGTGTGTACGCGGACCTTACCCCTTCCCCGAGGGAGTAGAGAGGCTATTTCCGAAAAACTCTCGGCTTAAGAAGACAAAAAGAAAACGAAAAGAGGCAATATATCAGTATCATCAATAGAAACCATAGAACAAAGAACAGCATCACCAGAACCAGAAAATAAGTGAAAAGCAAAACAATAACCAGTAGATAAAGCATAACAACTAAGAGGAACGAAAGAGTCATGTGAACTCAACATTAACCACTAACAGTCTAAGACCAAGTCCTAACAGACTAGCCTCACTCTGGAGCATCGTAGATATATTCTCAACTAACTCCTAACCTACAACCTTAATGCTCGATCTCCACAACTTCCTGTCTAAGGCCATGTCTTCGGTAATCTGAAGTCTCGTCATGTCCTGCCTGATCACCTCTCCCTAATACTTCTTAGGCCGTCATCTACCTCTCCTCACGCCCACCAAAGCCAGAAGCTCACACCTCCTCACCGGCGCATCTGGGCTTCTTCTCTGAACCTGCCCGAACTATTTGAGCCTTGCTTCCTGCAGCTTGTCATCCATGGGGGCGATACCCACCTTCTTCTGAATATCTTCATTCCTAATCTTATCCATCTTAGTGTGCCCGCACATCCACCTCAACATCCTCATTTTAGCTACTTTCATCTTCTGGATATGTGAGTTCTTAACTGGCCAGCACTCAGCACCATACAACATGGCTGGTCTATGTATAAAATTTACCTTTGAGAATCGGAGGCACTTTCTTGTTACACCGGACTCCAGACACTAACCTCCACTTCATCCACCCAACCCCTATAACCTCTATATGGTGTGTGACATCCTCGTCGATCTCCTCATTCCCCTGAATAACCGACCCAAGGTACTTGAAACTGCCCTTCTTGGGGATGACTTGTGAATCAAGCCTCACGTCCAACCCTGCTTACGTCAGCTCGATGCTGAACTTGCACTCTTGGTACTCCGTCTTAGTCCTGTTCAACTTGAAACCCTTAGACTTAGGGGTATGTCTCCAAACCTCCAGCCTCTCGTTGACGCCGTCTCACGTCTCATCAATCAACACTATGTCATCAGCAAATAACATACACAATAACACCTCCCCTTGAACATGATGTGTCAGTGCATCCATTAGGGCAAAAAGGAATGGGCTGAGCGCAGACCCTTGGTGTAACCCATAACAACCGGGAAATGCTCCGAGTCTCCTCCTATTGTCCTAACCCGAGTCTTAGCTCCATCATACGTGTCCTTAATTACCCTAATATAAGCAACCGACACACTTTTTGCCTCCAGGCACCTTCATAGAACCTCTCTATGAACCTTGTCATAGGCTTTCTCCAGATCAATAAACACCATGTGCAAATCCTTCTTCTTATTCTTGAATTGTTCCACCAACCTCCTAATAAGGTGGATAACTTTCGTGGTAGAACACCCCGGCATGAACCCGAACTGGTTATCTGAAATAGATATCGTCCTCCTCACCCTCACTTCAACTACATTCTCATAAACTTTCATGGTATGACTCAGTAATTTGGTACCCTTATAGTTGTTACAACTCTGGATATCACCTTTGTTCTTGTACAACGGAACAACCGTACTCCACCTCCACTCTTCCGGCATCCTCTTCGTCTTGAAAATAACATTAAACAACCCAGTCCCACTCCAAGCCTGCTCTACCTACAAACCTCCAAAATTCTACGGGAATTTCATCTTCCCCGGTAGCTCTTCCCCTACCCATCTTACACATAGCCTCCACGAGCTCCCCAACCTTGATGCGCCTACAACACCTAAAGTCACAGTGACTCTCGAAATGCCCCTATTCACCTAGCACAATATCCCGATCCCTTTTTTCATTCAGAAATTTATGAAAGTCGGTCTGTCATCTCTGCTTAATCTGATCATCCTCCATCAAAACTCTACCGTCCACGTGTTTAATGCACCTCACTTGATCCAGATCCCTAGCCTTCCTCTCTCTCGCCTTGGCCAGCCGGAATAACTTTTTCTCCCCGTTTTTGATCCCCAGATCCTCGTACAGATAAGCAAAAGCCGCATTCTTAGCCTCCGAAACCGCCAGCTTCGCCTCCTTCCAAGCTACCTTATACCTCTCACTGTTCTCTCTCCTCTCCTCCTCGCTAGTGCTCCCTACTAGCTTCAGGTACGCCGCCTTCTTCGCTTCCACTTTACCTTGGACCATTTCATTCCACTACCAGTCGCCTTTGTGACCTCTAGAGTAGCTCGGCGAGACCCCTAATACCTCTTTTGCCGCCTTATTTATACAATTCGCCGTCGTCGATCACATAATGCTCGCGTCTCCACTACTCCTCCAGGCTCCCATAGCCGATAACCCCCCTTCCAACTCTTGAGTTTTATCCTTAATCAAGGCACCCCACCTGATACTCGGATGTCCTCGTACAAACTTTTTCTTCCTCCTTATCATAATACTGACGTCCATCACCAAGAGTACACTCACCAACCACCAGCTTAATAGTCATTAGTCTATCATTCACCCGCCTAACCTCTACCACAGACTCTCTAAGATCCCTATGAATAAAAATTAAAATCCAACCAACTCGCACCATCGCGCTGTTGCTGAGTGCATATTTGGATCCGAGGCTACTTTTTAAAGATATTAAAAAACGAGGCTATTATTTAAAGACCAGCTCCTTATAATGGTCATTCCTGCAAATCACCTTAAAAACGGCTATCTGTGCACGTAGCTACTGAAGAGACCCGACTTTTACCCGGCCCGTTATAGTGGCGGAGCAGGAAGCAGGTGGTGTGGGTTTAGGGTTTAGGAAAGCTCATCTCTTCCTGCGTAAATTGGGGAGAGTAGAAAAAGCAAAAGCTTGATCTCCGGCGCCGAATAAATTTCAGTTCATCTCTCTCGCTCTCTCTACCTCCGATTTAAATAAATGGTTGCACCATGATTTTTTGCAGCCTTCTCTTTTATAGAAACCTGAAACATACCCGCAAATTAGTCGACATTTCTCGGAATAATCATCGATTTCTTTCTGCAAATCAGAATACTACTAATTTCAATGCTAAAGCTCCTTACTTTTCGAGATATTACTGTTCTGAATGGACTGAAGATGTAGAATATCTGGATGAATCAGGGAGTGTTATTTACTCAGGGAAAGGAATAAGGTCTGTTGAGCCAGGGGTTGATGATCATGTAATGGTGGGTGGGTTGAAGAAGCCTATTTTGAATGCTTCAGCAGTGGCAAAGCTTGTTGAGATTGTGAAGAGGTGGAGGTGGGGCCCTGATATGGAGACTCAATTGGATAAGCTTCAGTTTATACCAAATATGACTCACATTATGCAAGCGTTGAAAGTTATGGAAGATAGTGATGCTTCGTTAAGTTTATTTCGGTGGGCAAAGAGACAACCTTGGTATAAGCCAAATGATGCTTGCTACATTACCCTGTTCGATAAATTGAACCAAAGCAGAGATTTTGATGGAATTCAATCGGTTTTTGATGATATGGTCCTTGATTCTGGCGAAAATGGGGCATCTCTGTTTAATGCGTATAATCGAGTTATCCAATACCTAGCCAAGGCAGAGAAATTTGAGGTGGCATTCTGCTGTTTTAAGAAAATTCAAGAGTCTGGTTGCATAGTTGATACCCAGACCTATAACTCCCTTATCACCGTGTTCCTAAACAACGGGTTGCCATATAAGGCATTTGAGATATATGAGAGTATGGAAAAAGCTGGGTGCTCTTTAGATGCATCGAGTTATGAGTTAATGATCCCAAACCTCGCAAAGTCAGGACGCCTTGATGCAGCATTCAAACTCTTCCAGCAGATGAAGGTGAATAACTTTCGTCCAGGTTTTGGTATCTTTGCCTCCCTCGTTGATTCAATGGGTAAAGCCGGGAGGTTGGACACATCAATGAAGGTATATACTGAAATGCAGGGCTTCGGGCTCAGACCATCTGCTACTATGTTCGTATCCTTGATTGAGTCTTTTGTGAAGGCTGGAAAATTAGAGACTGCTCTAAGGCTGTGGGATGAAATGAAGAAAGCAGGGTTTAGACCTAACTATGGGCTATACACCATGATTGTTGAGTCTCATGCAAAATCTGGAAAGCTTGATATTGCAATGTCTGTCTTCTTGGATATGGAAAAGGCGGGATTTTTGCCCACTCCTTCCACCTATTCTTCTCTGCTGGAGATGCATGCTGCTTCCGGTCATGTAGATGCGGCTATGAAGCTTTATAACTCGATGACTAATGCAGGTCTGAGACCAGGATTGAGTACTTATACGGCCTTGCTAACTCTTCTTGCCAAAAAGAAGCTTTTGGATGTTTCTGCAAAGATTTTACTGGAAATGAAGGCCATGGGATATTCAGTTGATGTGAATGCTAGTGATGTTTTAATGGTTTACATTAAAGACGGTTCTGTTGATTTTGCTTTAAGGTGGCTACGATTTATGGGTTCATCAGGAATCAGGACGAATAATTTCATAATACGGCAGCTCTTTGAATCGTGCATGAAGAGCGGATTGTACGACTCAGCCAAACCTCTCCTTGAAACATACGTGAACTCTGCTGCCAAGGTTGACCTCATTCTTTACACTTCAATTCTTGCCCATTTAGTAAGATGCCAAGATGAGAACGATGAGAGGCATTTAATGTCGATCTTGAGTGCTACGAAACATAAGGCTCACACTTTCATGTGTGGGCTCTTTACTGGGCCAGAGCAGAGGAAACAGCCAGTTTTATCTTTTGTGAGGGAATTCTTCCAAGGCATTGATTATGAGCTAGAAGAAGGAGCTTCTAGGTACTTTGTTAATGTTCTCCTTAACTATCTTGTCCTCATGGGACAAATAAATCGTGCTCGTTGTGTATGGAAAGTTGCCTATGAAAACAAGCTTTTCCCCAAGGCTATAGTATTTGATCAACATATTGCATGGTCCCTTGATGTTAGAAACTTGTCGGTGGGAGCAGCTCTCGTGGCAGTGGTACATACGCTTCATAGGTTTAGGAAACGGATGTTGTAT